CTGAAAGTACCAGACAATTTAAATGCAGTACATATTATAACACATTGCAATGACGCATCATTTAAAATAAATACAGGTCTCCCTCAACATTCACGTTTTCAACTTTCACGGGCTTCACACATTCGCGAATTCCCAACCGCCAAATTCCCAGCCGCCAAATCATATTTAAGTTTCCCGCCACCTGTGAGTCCCTACTACCCTCCCTCTGACCCCCGCAACTGGCAGCCAGCCCTCCCACCACTCAGTGTGGTGAGTGTTTTGTTTGTTCATTATTTGCTATTAAACTACACTATAAATAATGTAAACCCATTCATGACTGCATATTGGAATGGCTATTAGGAAAGGTATTAGACGGTGACATCATGTGTTTACTCTTGAACACTGCTAAGAATAAACTTTTCTGCACAGTAAAATAACAATAGTAGTAATAGTAATAAAAAATAATAAAAAATAATAAAAAAAATAAAAATAATAATAATAAAAAAAATGATTAATTAAAAAGGAAATTGTACAAAAAAGGGGGAGTGGTTGACACATGGTCAGGGGGCTTTTTTATGGGATAACATTATCTCCCGCTTTTCCCAAAACCCAAAAAATTTCATTGGTTTGGTGCTTTGTAGTTTGATGTGACTGGGTGGTATAGGCAGTGATTGAGGCAATGGTTTTTTAATAACAACATGTTAAAAAAATAATAAGTTATTAATAATATGTATATTATTATTTATAGATATGTTTTTAAATACATACATGTTAAAAATAATACATGTTTTTAATAACATGTATTTTTTTATTATTTATAACATATAGTTATAAATACCACTGCCTCAACTTCTGAATTAGTGAAATGTTTAAAGAGCAGGGAACAATTTTCACCCAGCATAAAAAAAGTCAACTGACGATTTTTTCAACCATCCCTCGAAATTTGTACAATTTTCCTTTTTAAATTTATATGATTTATTATTATTATTATCTTTATTACTTTTGTTATTATTTTTATTATTTTATTTTTTTTTTACTAGTTTTATAGCAATAGCAGAAATGTTCGATTTTTGCAGTGTTCAAGAGTAAAAACAGGGTTCCCCGTCTAATCCCTTTCCTAATACCCTTCCAATAGCATCATGAAGGGGTTTACATTATTTTACTGTAGTTTAAAGCAAATAATAAAAAACCCCAAACACTCCCCACACTGAGTGGGGGGAGGGCGGGCTCCCATTGCGGGGGTCGGAGGGGGTAGTAGGGACTCGCATTGGGGAGGCAGTGGTGGTCTGGGGTATTTAATAACAAAATGTTATTAACATACATGTTTTAAATAACAAATTTTTTAAAGCATAACATTATTATTTAGTAAAAATTTACGTTTTTTTCATGTATTTATGATTATTCGGTTCAACAAGTTAAGGAAGCAGTATTGAAATACTTTTTCCCTAAAAATTATTTGGGGCACCAAACTTTTCACGGTTTTTCAACTTCGCGGGCTCTTGTTTTCCCCAAACCCTCGCAATGTTGAGGGAGACCGACATGGTATTTTTAAAAAAAAAAAAAAAAAAAAAAAATTTGTACATGAAAAAGTACGGGGGGAAAAGTTCTAGATAGGAATAGAGAGGGAGTAAAGTAAACAAAATTTCACTGCCAGACTTGTTAAATGGGGTAAGTCAACTCCGCTATTCTCCCCTTTTTCCCCCCCCCCCCAAAAGGGTGACGTGGGGGGGCTCTGGTCAAACAGTAAATCACTCGACCACAGCCCCAACACTACTGAAACATCCCTGCCTTGTTTTCTAGTGGATTTTTTGGGGTTGAAAGCGTCACTTTTGACCAATAACAAATTGTCCTTTCAGTCTTGCTCTAGGTTGACTGGTAAAAACCCCAAAAATTTTTTTTGGGTATTGTACTTCCATGGAGAGTGATTCTTAACAGGGGGTAACCGTTATCTTTCCAGTTGGATGACGGAGGGCACCTTCAATCAACGAGAAGAACGGAGACGGACTAACGTCCTGGGCGCCCCATTTTGGATTTAATTACCTGTGCACCTGTAGAAATTGCGAGAACCCCACATCATTGCAGCGGAAAGAACCTTTTTTCCCTGCACGGGATATACCCCGGGCGATCCTGCGAAGAACTACCCAAATGATGGTCCCAACACCTGGACCCCCCCCCCCCCTACATCAGAAAGGGATACGTTTTAAACAACAGGGGGCCCCAACACCAACACCCCTTAAAATTAGCGTAAATTCAGTTATCTTTATATTTTTTATTTTTTTAAACGTAGGTTTTAATATTTATATTAAGTGTTTTATATTTTAATTTTCTATATAATAAAGTGTTTATGTTTGTCTGTTATTATTTCTTTTTCTATTCACTAATTTTCCTGAGGAGGCCAGCCTTGGTAATCGTTAATTTGTTACGGGGCTGAGTAAGCCTTCACAAGGGGCGCCCTTCCCAGTAAACCCCTACGAATCAAGATTCAACTCCTCTGAATCTCCCTTTGGGGGAACTTCAACGCCCATACCCCAGACGTTACCCCCAGCCTGAGTAATCTTTTCTCTAGGGTAGGACTACGGTACAGGATTTAAAAGATTTGGTGTTTTTTAAGCTCAATTTATTGAAATAAAGTCGGCAGGATATAATTTTTTATTCTGCCACCTTTTTTGTGAGCTTGAAAACTTTGGAGGATTAGCCCTAAAAGGGACCCGAGATTTTCCCAGTGACAACTTGTTTCAGGGGCTCTTTATTAATAAGGGGAACTGTCTGGGGCACTTTTGATTTGTTGGGGGAAAAAAGATTGGTGGTCAAGGACCCCAATTCACTTACTGTTTGCTCGGAGCCCATAGAACCCTTCGTTTTCATTAATACTAGTTTAATTGAAGTAGGGATCAGCCCTCGTTTTTTTCAGTTTGGCGGAGCGGAATTGAACCCCTCCGTTTTTTTTTAATACCGTTTCATTCCCCTTAGTTTAAGTTATTCTTGCAAGTATGGATGAATCCCAGTTTTGGATAATCTGGAATAAGTGGGAAAATAACAGGGAAAAAATTTAGAACTTTCATTAGTGCAAGACCAGGAAAGACTTAAAAAGAGAGAGAATTGAGAAGAAGAAAGACAAAAAGGGGAAAGAGAAGAGAAAAAGGAGAGGAGGAACGAAAAAAAAACAAAAAGGAGCGTGAAGACTTGATGGGAGGGGGAGGGGTAGAGTACGTGAGGAACAAGCAAAGATACGTGGGGAAAACGGTTTAAATTAAGGGAACTTGAGGAAAAGCAAAGGGACAAAAATATGATTTAAGGGGGAGAGAGAGAAAAGGATCGCAACTCGAACAAACTCGCCGAATTAGAAAAAATAAAAGTTAACTTCTCACAACAAAATTAAATTTAAGGAGAAATGGAACAACGTGCAGCTAGTGCACAAATTCCAACACCAATTTTACCTCCCTTCAAGAGGGGGAAGACATAACTTCTTACTTTTATCATTTTTTTGAAAATCCGCACCCTCTTTGAATGGCCTGCTGACCCGGGGCTACAGGTTGGAATGCTTTTTTCTGGTACTGTTTTGAATTTTAATGCAACTTTGTACATGTATCATATGAAATTTTATAACCTCTGAAGAAGGCGATCCTTAAAAGTTTAAAAAAAAAACCACAAATTCTTACGGAAAATTTCAGGATGCCACCAACACCCTGGCCAAAAATTTTCAGCAGAAAGGGTAACACTCTTTGTTTGTTCGCTTTTGGTAGAGGTTCAGGAATTGATCACAGTTATGTCTTTAAGACTTCATGGTTGCGACCAGTTCCAACACTCTTCCTCCCAATATAAACATTCATTAGAGAACGTAACCTATTAAAGCTGAGGAAGGGGTGGGCTGCTGACCTGTAGCTGAGCTCACAATTCCTATAAACCCCTTAAGGGGGAAAAAAAACCCTAAGGCGGGGGTCATTAACCTTAAGAAAATCAAACCCCCTTTAGGGGAAATAAAATGATTTTCTTTTTTTCCTGTTTGTCATTTGGGGGTGGTGTTAAGGGGACTTAAACGCCAGATTGTCCTTCTAAGAAGGCCAAAAAGTTGGAAGATTTTTTTAAAAGACTGTAAAGACCAACACCCTTTCTGTTCAGGAACATTTAATGGATTTAAATGTATCTCCTTTTTTACGAGACACTGGATGCCTTTTATTTTCAAAAAAAGTTTCCCAATCTTAAAAAAACTCTTTCCCTTTGCTATATTTCAGACTACTTGGGCCGTACACTTTTCCCCCATCCGTTGTACTTAAGGTCAAATGGTTCCAGGTTGGTCTGAAGCCATACTAGCCCCACACTTTTGTCCGTACAATGGGTATTAAAAGGTGCCATTCTTCCTTCTGAGGTTGACCTTTCACCCCAAAATGGCATAGGTGTTTTCGACCCTCTTCCTTAAGTCAGAGAAGCCCCCCTCGAAAGTTCGAGAGACAATTCCGGAAAAATTCATTGGGGATAAAAAAACCAGTGATGCTACTCTCGAAAGCGAGGTAGTAGGATCACCGGTTCACTTTTAGATAAGTGAAAAATCAACCCCGACCTAAATGCTTTATAGGGCCAGACCCCAAAACCCATCTTCCCCACGCCACCTTCGATTTTTCCCGACTTTAAGCCTTTAGATATATCGAAGGACCCCCTTTTTCAATTTAAACGTAATTGCCCTTCTCTTCAGATTGCCATAATGCCCCAAACAAAATCAAGTGATCCAAAAAAAAAAACTTTTATATAAAATTTTAAATATTTTAAAAGGGATCTTGTACAAGCATATTCAAATTAAATTCAGAAGAATGACTATTCCCTCTTTTGTTCCAAGTCAATGCAGAGGACCGTTCTTAAAAGGCTCAGACCGCCAGTAGCCGGCTTTTTCCGCATGGAAAACCTTAAAAAAAATTAGGGAAAAAATTTTTGGCCAAAAATTCCTAATGTCACTACCTATTGTAGATCGTGTAAAGTTTGCCCAAATGTCATTTTTCCGAGGTACCGGCGAGTACCTATGGGCAAAA